GTGTGTGTGTGTGTGTGTGTGTGTGTGTGTGTGTGTGTGTGTGTGTTGGTGTACAGGCTCAGAGATGGGGCCACCAGCAGAAGCCACAGGTGAGTCTGTGTAAGGGAATCACCGAATGGAAAGTGAAATGAGTAATTGACTATGACCACCACGCACAGCTGGGCGGGCGGGCAGACGGGCAGGGGTCAGGGATGCTAGAGGAGAGTGAGAATGCCTGAGGGGCAGAAGTGTCTGTGAATGGGTAGGTGGGGGGTGGATGGGGAACCAGGGGACAGTGGAGGAGTTGGGATATGGTTGGGTGACTGGATGGGTATAGGTAGGTTATGGATAAAGAGATGGGGAGTAGTGTGAGTGGGTGAATGGCTGGATGGAGGAGGTAGGTGGGAAGGGATGGGCTAGGCAGCTGGAGAAACGGCCTTTGCAGCTGCGGGAGGATGGTTCAGAGGACTGGGCCGGCGAGCAGAGAAGTGAACTGGCCAGCAATCCAGCCAGAGTGTGGAGCTCAAGGAAGTGTGCTGCCCACGAAGGGCTCTTGGCCAAGCCAACTCACCCAGCCCAAGGTTCTCTGCTCACAGAACCCCAAGTGGGAAGTACCCCAGCTCAGCCTGAGTCCCCCCCACCCCACGTGAGCACGAGTCCTCCCACCTCCCTAGAGAGCGCCCTGCTCACAAATACCTTCTTCCCACAACTCTCCCCCGCAGTTTGGAAGGGTGAAGTCGGGGCAGCTGAGCCCTGACAGCACACAGCCCTAGGGCTTGGTGTCAGCACAGAAACCCAGGCAAGTCCTTCCCAGGCAGCGGCACCCCTTCCCTTCCCCAGCTGGGAGCCATTTGTTCTGCATCCTGCATGGTAATTAGGGCTCTGGCAGGGTTAACCCCTGCGCTCCCGGCACAGCCTTGGGGGCAGGCAGGGGACTTAAGGAAAAGCAGAAGAGGACAAAGACCCAAGAAATTCCGGGATGCTCACTCCCGAAGCCTGGATCTCAGGACTTTTCTCTGCCTTCTGTTTTTCAGAGGAAACTGAGTCAGAACCTTAACTCGGGAGTTAGCCCAAGAGCAGGGATTTCGACCTGCCTAAATGTGAGCAAGGGCTGCTCTCACCTTCAGGACAGTGGGGCAAGAATGTCCGCCCAGAAGATTGCCACACAGCCGGCCGGGAGAGACAGTGTACCTGGAATCCGCTCTAGAGGTCGGAAGGTTCTGAACCATTGAGCCAAGGTCCAGAGGATGGCGCAAGAGCGGACAGGGGGTGAACACTTGAATCCGGAAGGCTTCCTCTGCCCGCTGTGGTAGCACACACCTATACTCCTATCGCTCCAGCGGCAGGTGGGGGGTCTCTGTGAGTTCCAGGCCAGCCTGGTCTACATAATGAGTTCCAGGCCAGCCAGGGCTACATGGTGAGATGCTGTTTCAGCAAACAAAACAAAGACAACTTTCTGGGCCATCTCTCAGGGCTGGCAGCACAGCCTCAGGTATGGTAAATGCCTGTGGAGCTCAACCCATTTTAAAGAGAAGCCTGCACAATGCGCACAGCCAGCCTTGAACTCTGGGTCTTCGGCACTGAGCCAAATAGCTTCCTTTCCAAGCTGCTCCAGGAGCCCTGACTGAGGGGAAGGGCTGCTCTCCTGCTCACTAGATCACCTTTGAGAGCGAAAGTAAGTGGTATCACTAATCACACTGGGCCGCTGGTGCTCTTGACAAACGGGAAATGTGGTCATCCTGTCAGAGGTAGGAGGCCCTGGACAAGCCCCTTCACTTCTCTGCAAAGTGGACCTGGTGACAGAATTATTCCCATACTGCTCTCACGGAGATTAAATGTGATTACTCGTGGTATGCATTTGGTGCTCAATAAAGGCTGACTGATTTTTAATTGCACCTCCGCACGTACAGCCACCTGGCCATAGTTAAATACCCAGGCTCTGGCCCAGTTCTCTCCTGAGTGTGGCCCAGCCTCCTCCACTCTGAGTCTTGGGGACACTGTTCCCAATTTCCCTGGGATGCCCTGGGGGAAGGATCTGAAACCACCTGTATCTCTATCTTACCTGCATGCCACTGATATGCTCTGTGCCTCAGTTTTTCCATCGGTCCAGCTGGAAAAATGACCCCCTCTCCAGGTGACCCTTCCCCAGGCGGCTGGTGGGAGGATGCAGAGAGCCAGCTCTGGAAGCAGAGCACTCTGGGATGAGCAGTAAAACCTAAGAGCTTGTCTCCTCCCTGTCCTTACAGTCCCTGCCCAGCTCCAGCCCAGCCTCACAGCTCAAAGCCTTTGCCCACAGTGTGCCCAGTGTGGTCTTCCTAAGCGCCCTGTTCCTCTGTTTAAGACTTCTGGAACCTTGCTCAATACCCCCCTCCCAGACTGCCTTGGGGACCCGCCCAGGCCACACACAGCCCCCACGATTTCTGTCTGTCCTCAGAGAGAGGAACTCAGAGGGTACAGCATGATGGAGGAGCCAGGATGTCTTCTCTCCTTGAGCATGGCTGGCTCCATGCATTCTTTGAAGTGTGTGTGTGGGTCTCACTAAAGGTTTCTAAGGTGTGACCTCATTTCAGCAACTCTCCTAGTAGCTTGAGCCGAGAACAGGAGATAAGGTAATATCAGATGTCTGGTTTGATAACTCCACTTTAGCAGATTTACACGTGTGTGTGTGTGTGTGTGTGTGTGTGTGTGTGTGTGTTTTAGAAACAAAACTTCCACCCTCTAGAAGAGCATGAAGCACTCTTAACCACTGAGGCTTCTCTCCAGCCCCATAGGGAAACTGAGGCACTGAAAGGCAAGGAAGGAACAAAGGCCATACCAGCTTTAGGGTTCATGACATTACGGCACACTACACCACACCTCTCTATGTGGTGGTATGCAGCGATGGCCTCTTCCCCGGAGGAGCTAAGTGTTCTGCAGGCACCCCACAGGGCTTGTATTAGGTGGCCAGGAATGGGAACTGGAGAAAAAGGGAAAGAGTGAACGGCCCACGCTTTTGAAAAATCCAACGTCTTCTGGCCAGTCCCGTCCTCTCCCTCCCCCTATCTCTCCCCAGCCCCTCCCCCTTCCCCCGCGCCCCGCTCCAAAAGAGAAAGGCTGGAGGCCCAGGATAGAGCTGTCAGTCCTGAACTCCCTGAGGTCAGCTGAGGTGCCATGGGCAGCAAAGAGTCCTAGTGGCCTCTTCTGGGACAGTCCCCGGGATGGGACGGAGCGAACATTCCCGAGGTCGCCCCGCCTAGGGGCGGCGGGCAAAGGGCCTGGTCTAGCCTGGCACCCCCGCCGCGCCCCTGCAGCCCTCGCGGCGTGGCCAGCCCGGGAGGGGGCGCGGCCGCCGCGGGCGGAGCAGGGGCGGAGGGAGGCCGCGGCCCGCCCCCGCCCCGGGAGCCGACCGCCGAGCCCGCGGCCAGGGCGGCGCAGACCGGCCCAGCGACTCTCCGGCTGCGCAGGGACGCGTCGGCGCGCCCGGCCCACGACCACCCGGCTCGGCCACACGAGGTAACCGCGGACGCGGGCCAGGGCAGTGCCCACCGTCCTGGGCGCGCGCGGGGCGCGCGGGGCGACCCGTGGAAGGCCGGGACGCTCAGACTTCTCGGGTGGTTTTGGCACGTTGCGAGAGGGCGCCGGGTACCGAGGATCGGAGGGCAGGACGGTATACCCGAGGGCGGGCAGAGGGCGAGCCCTGGGGCCGTCGGCACGCGTTCCTGCTCGGGCAGCGGAAGGGAAGGGACCCCAGGGCCTCTGGGCGACGCCAGCGCCAGAGCGGGAAGTTGGGGCGGGGGTGGCGGGGACGGGGACAGGGCACCCTGCCCCCTCCCCAGCTGCATTCCAAGCTGGAGCAGCGGATGAGGTCATCCCGTCCGGTTCCCTTCTGGCCACGGCAGCCGCTGCCCTCTGCCCGAGCCGGAGCGGAGCGAGAGGCTCCTCAAAGTCTCCCCTCCGAGGTCCCCAGAAGGGAATGTTTCCCGGTTGAAGTCTTTCCTGGACTTCCCATCCCAGCTCGTTCTGCTGCCTAGCTATTGCAAGACTCGCCAAGTTTGAAGGCCGTTTTCCAGACCGGGAAACTGAGGCCTGAGAGAGGACAGCGGTAGCGTGGAGGGCTGCTTAGTTTTAAACTTGGGGTGCTGAGGCAAGAAGGCGTTTTAGCCAGCCGGTAGTGTCACGCAGGTTAATCTCACCACTTGGGAAACTGAGGCAGGATGGTCACAAATTCGAGGTCAGCCTGGACTATGTAGCTAGCCTGTGTCAACAAACAAACAAACAAACCAACGTCCTTCGACTTTCCGAGTTGCACCTTAATGGCCCAAGGGCGTCTCTCTTATCCTACCCGCAGTGAGGTTCAGAGACCCTTCATCCAGGATGGTGGCAGACAGCATGCTACCCCCGTCTGGCCTCAGTTTCCCTGTCTTCCACCTCAGAGTGCTGGACTTAGAGGGGATATTGGTACCTGGAGGATTTTTTTTTTTCTAATCCCAAATGTCACAGGTTGGGGAAATTCTGAAGCAGCAAAATCCCACAGTCCAGTGTTGATGTCAAAGAGCTGTGCCCAGCGACCGCCCCCCTACCCGGGACCCCCTCCCTCCCCCTGCACCCCCACACCCCTAGCATACTGCCGGGAGGTGGGGCTCTGTGCACCTGTCTGAGGGCGTGTCTGGGTATTCCAAGGAGCGCCTGCTTGTGCCCCCTGGCCCTTTCCCACCAGCCTCTCTCACCCAGAGTCCTTCCTCGCTTCCACATCCACCCCTCTTGGCCTCTGGGTGAATGGACCCGGCCAACGCCCCAAAGCTCGTCCCTGTGGTCATTACTACTGAGGGCGCTCAGGCCACGTGCCCAGGTGGCCAGACCGCCCCACGGTAAATATAAGAGCTCTAGGGATAGGGATGCTTCGCTGTAGCCAATCAGGCCCTGATGGTAGATGCTGATGGGTAGAGCCAGGGCCCATTCCTTCCACTGGTAACTTCCCCATTCCAGCCAGTGTCACTCAGATGGTGAGGCAGTTCTGCCAGTGTTGGTAGAATGTGAGCAAACTCCAGGGTCCAGGCTGTGTTTTGTTCTGTGACCTAGGGCTCATTTTTCCCCGTGTAAAATGGGTGAAGTGAGCGTTTACAGGGGCTGGGTCTCCTGGGCCTGTGAGAAGACAGGTCCCCCGAATCTCAATACCCAGGGTAATGGGATGAACCTAAAGGCCGGCAATAGTCTGTGATTAGCACCAAGTGGCAAGAGGCTTCTTCCACCGAAGGGTGGCTGGAGTGAAAGAGGCCCCTTACTCAGGCCTGCCCTGCTCCGGGATAGGAGGACTGAGTTTCTGTATCTTCTGTCCCTTCCTCCCTTCTCTGGATCGAGGCTCTTCCTGCCTTCTTCGTAGGAAGACAGAAATAGTATCTGTAGGTGGGCCAGGACCTTTTGCTGCAGTAGATGGGCATAAGAGAACGCTATATCTATAGGTGCCCAGGGGCACTTGGGAGGTGGCTTCACCACAAGCTTGCTCAGAAGGTCAGGTGAGGGCAGGAGCCCCTCGCCCTGGAAGAAACTCAAAGTTAAGAGAATGGGGTTGGCGGGGGGGGGGGGGGAGGCCTCATCCACACGGCAGACACAGTTGACCGGTTTGCAGAGCGGACCCTGCCCTGCTCCACAGTTCCTTCCTCTGGACAGTAGTTCCTGCGGAGCTGAGAAAGCTGGCCAGCGTTTACCTGCCACAGGACGGTGACTGAGTCTGCTCCCTGGGCACGGCAGCCCTCTTTGGAGCCTGAGCCAGCCTTCCAGCCTTGAGGGGCTGGCTGTTGGAGACTCATCTGGTGACATCATGTCATTGGTCAGCCAACAGCCAGCGGAGTGCTTTATAACTTCAGCAAACATTCCACGAGGGCTTCTCAGTGCTGGGGGTGCCAGGGATAGGGATGATTCAGAAGCGCCACCTCCCCCCTCCCGCCCCCCAGCACCGGGGGAGGAGGAGCTAGGGTTGGGGGAGGATCCAGGAATGGGAAGGAAGAGAATGCAGTCCCCAAACAAAGCAAGCTTTGTCCAGTTCTCCTCTTTGTTTAATCTCGTTAGTTAACCTCTTTTGAATTTCAAATAACATTATAGAACGGCTGCATTGAGAATTTTTTTATGCCACTTGGAGGCGGCGGCTAGGGTTGAGAAAAAAAAAAAAAAAGGTTGAAACTCCGGTCTAGATCTTTATCAGCTGAGCAGGTGTGTGGAGGTGACTGGCCCAAGGTCACAGGGTGAGGACTCCCCAGCCTACTCAACCCCCTCAGAAGGTGGCGGGGGTGGTCCTGCGGCCTGAAGGTTATCTCAGCTGGTCACGTGCTAAGCGCCGGGAGGTGAGAGGCAGGAAAATCCAGGCGTAGCCCCACCCTCGGCGTGCTCAGGGAAACAAGACTGGGCCCCAAAAGCCGGCGAGGGCTTATGTGAGTCACAGGCCCCGAGTTCAAGTTTGGACTAGCTTTTTGATGGAAACTTGAGCAAGCGTGGCCCTCTCTGGGTCACAAAAAAACAGAGTTCAGACTACAGGATCCCAAATGCCCTCCAACCCCTTAGGGAAGGAGAGGAGAGGACACAGAAGGACCCTCTGAAAACGGGCAGGGCATCAGAGGAGGTAGGTGAGGATCAGGAAGGGCATTGGTACATAGAGAGTAGTTTTTGGCACCCACTGGGCTAATTTTTTTTTTTCATTAACACTTGTTCCCGAACACCAAGGCTCCTACGTCAACCTAACAAATGGATTTAAAAAAAAAAAAAAAAAATCCTGCAGGCCTTCTCAGAGCCTTGACTCTGCTCAAGCGTGCAGGAGCCGGCTGGAAAGAGCCACTTGTCACCGAAGGATCCCTTTTCCAGGAAGCACCTTGGAGGCGGAGGGTTCCGAGAAGCGCCAGTGCCGGCTGGCCGCGTGGCAGGCTGTGTACACAGCCGTTCACAAGATCTTGGCAGCGAACCTAGATCTGAACCCCCAGAGAACTGAAATAGGGCCGGCAAGAGGTTGGTTGTTGCCTAGGGCTCAAGGTCGCCGCGATGGGGCGCCCCGTTCCCCTGTTCCTCATGAGAAGCGACAGGCAAGGAAGTCACTCCAGTTTCTCCTCCGAGCTCTGGAGCGGCCAGCGGGTCTAGTGTCCGAGTTGCCCGGCTTGTGCAGGTTAGCCCCTTGGCACCTCACCCGCTGGCCTTACGTGGTGATCGCTCATTTTCTGCTTCACCGCTGCCCGCTGTAAACTCGGAGCAGAATGGAGCCTTTGTGCCAGCCCGTGGCACTTGGGCGTCCACACTTCTGGTCGCTGTTGCCATCCACTCTGCCCGTTCTCAAACTCTGGCGTGCACGTGTGTGTGGGTGCATATGCCCGTGATCTCACATATGGACGCCAGAGGAGGACACTGCATGCCCTGTTCTGTCCCTGGAGACGCAGTCACTCGCTGAACCTGAAACTTGTGTTTTGTTATTGTTGTTGTCTTTTCTCTTAGCCAGACTCCCCATAATCCTCCTGTCTCCATCCCTCTCCTTCCGAACACTGGGTTTACAGGTGCGTGTGCCTATGCACGACTTTTACATGGTGTTGGGGAGCCAAGCTCAGGTCGTTGCGCTTGCTCAGTAAGCACCGGGCAGCCATCCACCCCGGCTCCCTCTTGAACTGCCTACACAGAATTCTGCGGGTCCTCCTTTGAGCCTGGCTGGCTCTCATCAAGGATATGTGTGTTTGGAAGTAGCCTCATTTGTTCTCTTGGGTGGCCAGTGTTTGGACTGGCATTTCCTCTTCTGCCCGCCATGCCGCAATGCTGTCTCTCTGCCCTTCCAGGTCTCCACCCTCTTTTCAGGCCCCTCTCCTGCCCGCTCTGATCATCAGCCTCACCGGGACTTCTAGGAGGGAGAAGCAACAGATTCCCTCATCCTGAATACGGGGAACAGCGCCCTGATAGTCAAGGGTTCGCCTCAGCTCTGCCGTCTTGGTGGAGAGAAAGGGCCTGAGAAGGGTCCCCCCTCCAGCCCAGCCTGCCATCTTCCCTGGCCCCAGACGGGCATGGACCAACAGTTGTGAGCAACCAAATCTGATGCCCGGCCCCCAGGGGGGCACAGGAGCCCCCACCATGAGCCTGGGCAAGCTGTCTCCTGTGGGCTGGGTGTCCAGTTCCCACGGAAAGAGGCGGCTGACAGCGGACATGATCAGCCCCCCACTTGGGGACTTCCGTCACACCATGCACGTGGGCCGTGGCGGGGATGTCTTCGGTGATACCTCCTTCCTCAGCAACCATGGAGGCCGCTCAGGAAACACCCACCGCTCGCCCCGCAGTTTCCTGGCTAGGAAACTCCAGCAGGTGCGCAGAGCCGGGGTCCCACCTCGAAGAATGGCTTCTCCGACTGCGCCCTCACCCGCTCCACCCGCCATCTCACCCATCATCAAGAATGCCATCTCCCTGCCCCAGCTCAACCAGGCCACCTACGACAGCCTGGTGGTGGGCAAACTCAGCTTTGACAGCAGTCCTGCCAGCTCCACGGACGGCCGTTCCGGTTATGGTGAGGGCCCGAGTTCACGGTCTCTTTGTCATTGTTGAGATTCAAGCCCTCAGAGAGGTTCCGGGTTTCTGCCAGGCCTCCACATCAGCCTCTCACACAGCTGTTCCATCTCCCAGTGGAGGAAGTCTGACCCCAACCTAGGCTGAGGCTGAGGGGGGTCAGGGAGGTGGGGTGTCAGCCTGCTTAGGCCTCATAACATGGAGACGGACAGAAATGGAGTTTGTGGGGGCGCACGCCTTCAGTCCCAGTAAGCGGTAGGTAGAGGCAGGTGCATCTCTGAGTTGGAGGCCGGCCTGGTGTGCCCAGTAAGTTCTAGGACAGCCAGGGCTACACAGAGAGATCCTGTCTCGAAGGGAAAACATAAAAAGAAATGGAGTTTAGGCTCTAGCAGCCCTCTACCTCACTCTGTGACTCAGCCAGGCCTTTACCATCTCTGGGCTCAGTGGCCAGTCTACCCCTTCCTGTCTTCTAACATTAAGCAAGCTCCCCCACCCCACCCCACCCCACCTCGGTGTCAGAGGGTACCAAGAGGAGGCTCTGAGCCAACTCGTGTTTCTAGTCCTTGTTCTTCTCACTGAACTAAGCCCATGGACCTCTGAGCTCCAGTCTTCACCTGTGTGAATCCCTTAGTCTCTTTGCTAAGATTCAGTAGAGTCATGAAGTCAGTCTAATGTACATAATGAGTTCCAGGACACCCTGAGTTAACATTTTGAGACCCTGTCTCTAAAAGCAAAACAAAGCAAAGATTGAAGTCATAAAGGCACTAGGCGGCCTTGTACCAGGTGCTTGGGCAGAAGCTGTTATTTGAACAAAGAAAGGCTCCTGTAACTCTGTAACTTGGCAAATTGACTCAGGTGTGAATGCCACCTTGGCCTTGGCAGGCTAGTTCAGGAGGGGCCCGTTGGTTACTGCTGCCCCCTCGTGGTCATGTTTTGCATTACAGTCTTGCAGCTCTATAGGTCCTGGAAGCCAAGGTTGGGCTGGAGAGCATGTATCTGTCCTGAGAGTCTGTGATTTCTCTGTTCAAGTCCTGGCTTCTGGTTCTTTCCTGTGACCACAGGTCAACTCACATGCTATGGGTTCACCTACAGCCATCAGTCAGGGTCAGAGAGAGAACCGGGAGCTATGGCCAACTCCGAGCCAGGGACTGGTTGTCAAGATTCAAGCTGCAGGCATAGTCCCACCCTGACAGAATAGCTTTGGGTGATGATGTCTGTCTCGTTCCAAACTGAGCTTGAATTTGTATTACCTCTTCCCCAAGCGGGGTTAGTTTCAGAGAGCACAGAAGGCCGTGGGGTCCTTACATTAGAAAAGCAGGAGAGCTGGGCGGTGGTTGGTGCATGCCTTTGATCTCTGTGAGTTTGAGGCCAGCCTGGTCTACAAGGTGAGGCCAAGACAGCCAAGGCTACACCAAGAAACCTTGTCTCGAAAACCTAGAAGAAGAAAAGAAAAGCAGGCAAAATGGAGGCCGGCAAGGGGTACAGCTTTCCAACCACAGCATAGGTCAGGGTTGCCCTGGCTCTTGGTCTCCAACAAGAGGCTAGGGACCCCAGCCCTGACCTCCTGATTCCTTTTCTAGGCCTGGATTCTGGGTTCTGCACCATCTCGAGACTGCCACGTGTGGAAAAGCACGGCAACCGTGACCACGACCATGACCACGCTCCAGACCGGGAGCAGAGTTCTTTCCTCTCTGAGCCTAACCCTAACCCCGAGCTTCGACGCTCCGACTCGCTCTTGTCCTTCCGTTTCGACCTTGACCTTGGGCCCTCACTCCTCAGTGAGCTGCTAGGGGTCATGAGCCTTTCAGAAGCCCAGGCAGCTGAGACCCCCGCCCCTACAGCCAGCTCTCCTCCCCCTGCAGCAACCCTTCCTGTCCCTGCAGCAACCCCCCCTGCCCCTGCAGCAAACCCCCCTGCCCATGCCATAACCACCCCAGACACTGTGACAAGCCCGCCATCCCGTGGACATTTTCCCAACGGGGTGACTGCTGTGCTGGGCCCTGTATCTGAGGTCAAGCCCAGTCCTGTGGGAGAGGGTCCCCAGGTGCCCCCCAACGTGGCATTTGGCAGGCGTGGAGACAGCTGGGGGGCCAGCCGGGCCAGCCGCCACTACACTGAGATGGATGCCCGGCGGGAGCTGGCGGGGGTGCTACCCCAAGTCCACGGCTCATGGGAGAGCCTGAATGAAGACTGGAGTGGCGCTCCGGCCAGCGGCAGGACCCCTGTGCCCAGCACGGTGCAGATCAATGCCTTCGAATTCGCTGACGCTGAGGAGGAGGATGAGGTCAAGGTGTGAGGAACCAGGCCTGGGCTTCAGGTCCTGCCAGCCTCAGGACTTAGAGAGCAGAGGGGTCTGAGTTCGCCCACACCTCTCGAAACAACTACATTCTGCTTGCGCGGGCGGCTGCCCCGTCCCCAAGTCCTCCTATGTGAGGCAGAAGCATGGGTGAAGGGTCCCTGCTGACCTCACCCAGCTCCCTCCATGGCCTCTAGGCCCTCTAGCTCTTCAGTCACACCCTATGCCACCCCCCACCCCACCCCCGTGGCCTCACAGTGTGGCCTTTGTGCCCCAAGGATGCTTCCCTGGTGGGGGTGGGGCAACACAGGGCCATTGTCTATGCGTGGGACTGCCAGCCCCTGCTCACTTAAGAGCCGCCCCAGAAGGCCACCACTGTGTTCTCCACAGTCCCATTGCCGGCTCCTCTTAGTTCCCAGAGGAAGGTCAGGCGTGACCTTGCCGGTAGACTCCATCTCATGCGCACCCCAAACCCGCCTCTTGGGCCTGACAGTAAAAGCTTTTCTGTTAAGGGCTATCTGTCCAGGCAGCCAAGAAACAGGCCTCAACCCGCGCTGAGGTGTGCGGACCCCTCCTGGGAGTCTGGAGAGTTGAGGACCCCCTTCCACCATACACCCTGCCCCCCCCCCCCCCCAGCAAGGAGAGGGGGACCAGACGAGGTAATGAGTGACCAGCCTGGAATGTTCAAACGATAAGAGGCCCAGGTGGGACCCTTATCTGCAGTTCCTGGAACACCCTGGCCCCAGGTGCCTGGAACCAGTATCTGCCCCATAATGCCATGGGGCAGCTTGGCAGGTGCTCAGATCACCGGGAGGGAGACACCTCCCAGCCTCTCCTCTTGGCAGTACCGTACCCTGTGCCTCAGTTTCCTCCCTGGCATCACGGACTGGGGAGCATTAACATGCATGGACAGTGCTAACAGTTCTCGCTGTGGAAATAATAAATGTGGATTCTTTTATTTGACCTTGACCTTGGGGGTGGGGTTCGTCAGAAGGGCAGAAGCTTCGGGGGAGGGTACAGGGAGGGCTGGTCCCTGGGGCTATGGCCTCCTGAGAAGATGCTCACTCAAGCTTGAAGGAGGAGATGTGGAGCCCGTCCATGCTTAGGTAGGGCAGGTGGTTGTGGCCCAGCCTGTTGGGGAAGGTCAGCACATGTCCATCAGGCAGAGTCACCTTGAACTTTTTATCCTTGAAGGCCACAGTGAACTGCAGGGAGAGGGAGCATGTCAGTAGGGCCAGGGGAGCCTGGGAAAGGTCCTGATGGTGCCTGGTAGCGTTCCCCCACCCCCACCCCGTGTCCCGGCAGGAAAGCCACGGTTTGGGCTCACCTTGACCTCTGCTCCTGGACTGAAGCACATGTGATTGTCTCGTTGCTCTTGTCCCCAGCTGCTGCCATCGAAGCTGTTGCAGACAATGGTGGATTCGTTGAAGCGAGGGTTAAAATGCAGGTTCAGCGTGTCTTTCCCCTGGCCCAGGTTAATGGTGAATCTGTAGGGAGGAGGGACAGGACGACGGCTTAGGGCAGGGGGCTTTGGTTGACCACAAGCCGGAAGAGTAAGTGACAATGTTGTCACTGAGAGCTGTGTCCGGCTCTGCACTGTAGTGATGTGCAGGCTGTCAACAGGGTAATTCACAGTGGTGCCTTCAGGGATTAGGGTTGTCAGTCCGGGGGAGGCAGCTGAAGGAGTGTCACCAGAGGGATACAGGCGGGGGGGGGGGGGGGGGGTATATGGTTTGACAGGATCACTAGAGGGCCTGGGTTAGACAGTAAGCATCCTTGATAGTAGATCCTGGGGGTGGGATTCCGTCATGGTGATGAGGGTTCTCAGACCAGACATGTCTGTCTGCATGTTTCTGCAAACGAGGGACCTGGGGAGGAAAGAAGGGCTTTTTTCTCTTAGCTCCTACTGTGTGTGTCTGCCCACCTCTTTCCTGACTCACGGTGGCTATAGGTTTGTCTCAAGAAATGCTGTCATCCCGCTATATGCCTGTCAACCTAGTGCTCAGGTAAAGAAAACAAGTGAGGCCTCTGCTGCCCCCTGGTGGCTGCTTCTGGTTACAGTCACATGGCCTGATGGATTGGCGTCCCAGAGGGCTTCGATACAGGCTTCAGACCTGCCACGCCAGGCAGAGCGCCATCCTTCTCCATCTGCCCCTTTAGTGGCAATTGAGGCGAGGAACAGAGAGCACGGTTTCAGTTCGGACCTTGCGAAGGTTCCTAACCCAAAGCCTAGATGCAAGGGTTGCTCCTGGTAGGAGCCACTTGGGGGTGTGGTAAGGACCATAGGAAAAGAGTCAGCCACCTCCTGCCATTTTGAGGGTCCTGGCCCTCAGCCCTACCCACGCCTTGCTTACCGGTCAACATTTGTTTGGATCTTGCCTTTAATCTTCAGGACCATCCCCGATTTCATGTTCAGGTTTGTGACCTCGAATTGGTCCTGGAGCAACAGAAGAACACTCTGTTCTTAAGAGAGCCCACAAGGAACCATGAGAGGGACCCATCGCCCCGCTGCCGTCTCCCACCATCCTGGATGACCCCGTTAGCTGCCCTCACGGAGACCGCAGCGCTCTGACTCAGGCTTCCCAGAGTCCTCATAGCCTCTGCTTGGCGCTCCTCCACCCCACAACCCAATGAGAGAATGGCCAGGACCAGAGGTTCACAGAACGGACAGCCTGACCCCTGCTGGTGATGCAGAGTGTTCAAGTTACACACTGCTCTCCCTCCTCAGACCCAAACCACCAACGAAAAAGCAGAAACGACCAAGTCAGGCTGGGCGTGGCGACGGCTCATGCCTTTGATCCCAGCACTTGGGAGGCAGAGGCAGGCGGATCTCTGTGAGTGTGTGAGGTCATCCTGAACTACTGGCAAGTTCCAGGCCAGCCAGAGCTCCACGGTAAACCCCGTGTCAACAAAGAAACAAACAAAAACAACAGAATACAATGCTGTGATGCATGCCTACAGTCGCAGTGTGAATCAAGGGGCGTCCCTGGGACTCTCCGACCAGGCAAGCAAGCCTAATCGACTAATTTTAAGCAGCAGACTACTGAGAGACCTTGTCTCAAAGGAAGTAGATAACATTCCAGGGGCGGAGGGAGGCAGCATTCCCTGGGGGGTGACAGCTAAGTCATACACATACACCAAAAAAGGTGTGTGGGAGAATAATCAGAATATATTATGTGCAAGTATAAAATTGTCAGATAAGAGAATTCATTTATAAATGGGATGTGGCTAAGCGGTAGAGCGCTTGCCTAGTGTGTGTAAAGAGCCAGGTTTCCAAACCCAGGCCTTAAAACACACACACAAAAGCGTTTGCTGAGTGTCCAGGGTATGGCATGTGTTGAGGGAGACTCCGAGATCAACGGCGCCGGCCTTCAAGCAGGTTGCAGGAAGTTCAGCGTCTGGTTAGTGAGGCCCAAGAGCAAGGCCTGACCCAGGTGGCAGAAATAAGGATAGCCGCCCCTGTTTTAGCTAACTATCCCTCCGCCCCTGCTTTCACACAGGGCATTAGCAGTAACCGGGCTTTTTGACAGCTGACTACTCTTCTGCCATCTTTGGCGGTTAAAAGGGTAAGTGTTGAGGCTGAGTTTTCAAGGCCCACCGCTTGGAAATGTGGATCTTTCACACTCACATTCGTGACCAGAGGGTGACAGCCGAGCTGAGCAGCTCTTAGGGGCAGCATTTCTTCATTATTGACTTCTCTGTCTGGTTTCTTGTTGTTATTTTATGTGTATGAATATTTTGCCTGCATGGATGTCCATGCACCATCTGCATGCCCCGGTGCCTCCAAAGGTCAGCAGAGGACGTTAGGTGTCCCTGGAACCAGAGCCACGGGAAGGTTGTGAGCTGACAGAAGGTGCTAAGAATGGAACCTGAGTCCTCTGAAGGAGCAGCCAGTGCTCTTAACAGCCGAGCCACCTCTCCAGCCCCTTGACTTGTTTTGTTTCCTTGACAAGCATCACCAAGGATTCCTGAATCAACTCCCCTGTGTGGGTGGAGTGGAGGAGACTGGGGGCCAAAGCACAGCTGTGGGAAGATTGTCCTTTCTCACTACAAAGAAGGATGGAGAATGGCCGATCGACATGCAAGGAAGGCATGGCACCTGCCCAGATACCCCCAGACTGGCTTTGAACTTGGGATTCCCCTACCTTGACCTCCTGAGTGCTTGGATTATAGGCATGAGCCATGGAGCAGAGCTGAGGGCGTTTATTTAAAATAAAGGGTAGCGGTGGTGGTGCACGCCTTTAATCCCAGCAATCGGAAGGCAAAGACAGGCGAATCTCTGGGAATCCAAGGCCGTCCTGGTCTACAGAAAGAGTCCCAGGACAGCCAGGGCTGTTCAACAGAGAAACCCTACCTAGACTAGAAAGAAAGAAAGAAAGAAAGAAAGAAAGAAAGAAAGAAAGAAAGAAAGAAAGAAAGAGAGAAAGAAAGAGAGAAAGAGAAAGAAAGAAAGAAAAAGAGAAAAAGAAAGAGAAAGAAACATTCAGGCTAGGAGTGGAAGCTCTGAGAACAGAGACATGCCAGCTTCAGTGACAAGCACTTCAGAGCAGGGTCCTGGGCCTGTTCCTAGGGAATGAGGTAGGTCAGGTCTCTATTTGAAGCATCCTGTGTGCTGTGAGGTGGCTCCCGGATTCCCTGGCCTCTCCTCACCAGAACCTAGCAGTCTTTCCTAGACTGCCTCAATGAAAATATGTCCAAAGGGACAGCTCGCCAAAAATCCAATGGGACAGCTCACCATGTTCCGGGAGCAAAGAGATCTGGAGGTGGGAAGTGAAGCAGCTCCCTGTAGCTACTCTGGGTTTAGTCAGACTGACTGACCTCTACTTTCTTCAGGCTCTTGGCGGCAGAACTACCCCAGGGCCATGAGTTCATCCTGAAAGGACAACCCACAGTTTCTCCCTATGGAGCACAGGCCTGAATATGTGAGAGTCAGGTACATTCTCACTGTGTATGCATAGCCAGCCCCCAGCCACCAGTAAAAGGTGTCATCCACCCTACCCTGGCTTCCTGGGCAGGTGGAATGAGCAACGGGATTAGGGTGGGGAGAAGCGCCCCATCTTTACACCCGTGCCTCCTGGCTAAAACAGAAGAACTGGAGTCCTTGAGGCTGGGATTGAAGGCTGCCACAGGGCTAGGGTACAGAGAAGGCCAGAGTTGAAGGTATGTTTGTGTAAATAGGGTCTCTGACACTTGGGAGCATGTCCAGGCCCAGTCTTGTCCCCACTCAACCAAGCCTAAGACCAGAGAGATAGGAGGCAAAGTCAGGTGGGAGATGGGGCAGTTCGCAGGTGTTAGGGCTGATAGGAGAGGGAAGGACCGCGTCCCAGTTCTACCTTTAGCTGGCCAAGTGACTGGGCCAGCCTTACCCCTTTAGGCCTGGGTTCCCCACTGATGAGGGCATTATCTGAAAGGAGAAAGAAGAAAGCAAAGGAGTGGCGAGACAGTCAAAATAGAGAAGGCCAAGGGTGTGTCTGAGTCACAAAAGATCTCCCTGAGTGGCAGGGCCAAGGGTCCAGCTATCCCTTCCAGCACCGACACCCTGTCACAGGGACACCCTGCACACTGCCTACACTGGCTGGGATAGTGTCATTCACCAAATACACCCCGCCCCTGGCATATGCCTCCTTGGAAACAGGGTCTTGGCACCACAAAACATGTGACGGTATTTGTTCAGGATAGACCCTAAATCCGCTGTAACTGATGTCCTAAATTCAAAAGAAAGGGAACTGGACCAGAGGGATGGCTCAGCGCTTAAGAAAACTTGCTGCTCTTAAAGATGGGTTTAGTTCTCAGTACCCACACGGTGACTCATAACCATTTATAATTTCAGTTTCTGAGGATCCCATGCCTTTGTCCAACCTCTGTGAGCATCAGGAATGCACACAGTATGCACGCGCGCACATACACACACACACACACACACACACACACACACCTCTGTGTGCAGGCAAAACACTT